ATTAAAAAATGAAAAAACGATTTTTTTATTTTTAAATAAAACAAGTCTAACTTATAAAAACAAATAATTACAAATAATGAAAATTGAAGTCATATTAAAGGAATATTTTTATATAATATATAAAATATTTTATTTATATTTATTTTTGCATGCCGACACTTTTAGAGATTTAGGTCAGCAGATGCCCTAGTAAAGCCAAGATAGATTGGCTTTTGGGTTGGCAATGCCAAATGCTGACCTAAATCTGGGTTGTATATATATAATATGTCAAAACATCATACTTTACAATTTCACAGGCTTTTTTAAAAAATATATTTTTAGGTGTAAAGTTAGATCCTTCTGCACTTATTAGTGAAGATGGGAAGTTTAAAGGAATCCCTGATGAAGCATTTAAACAAGCTTGTGTTGAAGATTTTTCTAAAGGCCTTGCTGTAAATATATTTTTTATGTTATTAATCTATCTGACAATGTCTTTGAAATTATAGAAAGCAAAGTTTTATATAATGATGAAATAAAGTTAACATTTCTATATTCTCTTTTAAAAAACACTAGTTGCTTTTATTTTTATTGTATTTACCTCACCAAGGGCTGGAAAGTTTATAGGGAAAACTGTTGTATTATGACCTGGTTTTCGGAAAACATGAAAGCAAGGAAGAATTTTTAGACCTCGTCTAAAATAGAAAGGGCATTAGAAGAACCAGCTCAAATATGAGTTATGTACTAGGGTAAATAGAGGTATAGTGAGAATGGAATCAGGAGCAAGAAAGCGGTAAGCAAGATAGCAAGTTGTTACATTAGTACTTTGCAATGGATTGGATATAAGCTTTCAATTAAGGACCAGTGAATATTTGTTAAAATTCAGATTATGAAGTTTACTGAAAGGCAAAAATGACTTTAGCTTCAGTTTCGAATTTGAAAAACATTAGAAATTCAACTTTCAGTCAAATTTGCAATTGCAAAGCTCTCAGTTAAATTTAAAAGTTATTAATTTTTTTTCAATTAAAAAAGAAAATTAATTTTGGAGTTGAACAGTTGCAAAAGGTTTGTAGCCACTATAAAAAAAAAAAAAATTCAAAAAATTGAAAAATAAGAAAGAGTAGCCTCCTTGACTGGTCCCCTCAACCTTGAGAACATAAATCGAGTAAAAAAAAACAAAAAAGACATTAAAAATAGATTTTTTCACTTCTTTAAAAAGAAAGTTCACATTAAATCTTATTGCTTTTAAAAAATCTTAAGGTGAATATTTAACAATATTCTTCATGATCTTTTTCCTTTAAAAAATTGACATTCAAAATTTTTCAATAAGCGTTGTAAATGTTAACGCTTTCATCTCCATTAGTATCAAAAGAAACTGATTTTTTAGCGGTGGAAGATAATGGTACCACAATATCTAAAACTGGCATTGGTCGTCAGAAAATTGTATCTGATTTCAAGTTTATCAATTTCTTCAAAAAGAGTCTTTTCTGCAGCTGGAACCTTAACAGCAAAAATTTAGAAAAGCTTGTCTACTTACACAAAACTATCCTAAAATACAAAAATAAACTCATTTGTTTATGTGGGTGTTAGTATTGGATTTCAAAAAATACTCAATAGTATTTTTTTCTACAGTTGTTTAGGAAATAACCTTATTAATAATCATAATAGAACAAAATAAAATCACTCTAAACTTTACACAGCAAATTTTTAACTAAGTGAATACCATTATAGTGTAAGGAGACTTGATTCTATCAACCCTGCAACTATAAATTTCTTTAAAAAATCTTTGGTTAAGTAGTTTAGTAGTGGTTTTTTACAAGAATACTGGGTACATTATGGTACAGTGCATCGTATTTTTGTGTAACATGGGCATAAATTTAATGAAACATTTGCATAGTTTTTAATTAAAGTAACCAAAGTTGCTTGGTGATTAAAATTAACATGCAACACATGCATGTTGTAATTTTTTACAAACAAACAAAAATTACTAAAAATTGTTACTTCAAAAATGATCAACATTACTGTCATAAGTATCATTTATGAACAAATCATTTATGTTGAGTCAGGTCAGGACCAAATGTTAAAAGTTTTAATTTATTTTTGTTTTTGAATACTAAAATTTTATAAAATTACCATAACCAGACACCCTGTGAGGTCAGTTAAGCTTTATTATATCACAGTTTTCATTTTGAGACAGAATTTTACTTTTTTTAAATTTTACTTATTTAATTTGATATGTTTTATTCTTATTTTTGCAAACTTTAGATAGCACAAAGTATTGGTTATCCAGTTATGATTAAAGCATCTGAAGGAGGGGGTGGTAAAGGGATAAGAAAAGTTAATGGCGATGAAGAATTTTCTGTTTGTTTTAGACAGGTAGTAGATTGATATCTAGTAGTATTAATATAAATAGATAATGTTATTTCTAGAAGTAGTAATCATTAACTACTTGCTTTTTTTTAAACACTAGCAAATCAGTGTTTGTTTTTACTTTATTTGTTAAAATATTTTAAAATCTATTAAGTTTGAAATATAAAGTGTTAGGTAAGATGAATAATTATTTAGTTTCTTTTTCTATTTTTTAATGAAAGAAATCTTTTTATTCTCTTTTTCTAATGTTTAGGTTGAAATGGAAGTTCCAGGATCACCTATTTTTATAATGAAATGCTTGATGAGGTTTCAGAACTTTATTCTTCAAATTATTTTACATTTATTATTTTATTCTATAAAAAATATATATTTATCAGTCTTCTCCATTTGAAATTTGCCAGTGCACAAAAAAGCGCTTGCAAAATTTAAAATATAATAAAATAGTAAAAAGAATGTTTTAAATAAATTAATTAATTAAAAAAAAAAACTGGTAAAAAAAAGCCATTTTTTATAAAAGTTGAACAAATGAACAAAATAGTTATGTTGCAATTTAAAACAAAACGTTTTTATTTTTTTGGCAAGCGCTTTTTTATGTGCTAGCTAATGTTTTTGCGGACGTGTAGGGGAGCATAAAAAGGTTCAAGCGCAAAAGCGCTGGCTAAATGGAGAAGACTAATTTATATATACAATATTTAAGTTACATTTTATTTCACTCAATTTTTTCATAGTTTTCTCTTTCAGAGCACGACATTTAGAAGTTCAGATATTGGGTGATTGTTATGGACAGGTTGTGTCTTTATTTGGACGAGACTGTTCAGTGCAAAGAAGGCACCAAAAAATAATTGAAGAGGGTCCTGTAACAATTTGTAAACAAGATGTGTTTCATGAAATGGAAAAGGTTAAGAAATTATTTGAAAGTATATCAAATTATTAATTTTATAAACAATGGACTTCTACACCTAAATAGTGAAAAAATATCTTTATGTATTTTTAGTGTATATGCTTTTTTTTTCTTAATAATATTTTATGTTTTTCAATTGTTTTTCAGAATGCAATTGCTCTTGCAAAACTAGTTGGTTACAGAAGCGCTGGTACAGTTGAATATTTATATGATATGCGAACCAAAGCAGTTTACTTTCTTGAGTTAAATCCGCGTTTGCAAGTTGAACACCCTTGCACAGAAATGATAACTGACATTAATTTGCCTGCAGCCCAGATGAAGGTATACAATTATTTTGCATGTTTTTTTCTTTTGATATAGCTTTTTTTATCAGTAAAAAGTGTTCTGAATTTATTTTTTAAATTTGAGTTAATGATTTTTTTAAGTAGCATTTTTAAGTTGGTAATGCTATTCTTGTTGCTATCTGAGTTTTTTAATAGAGTGTTGCTTCTTAAGTTAAAGATGCTTTTTGAGCTATTATGTGTTGTTATGTGTTGACTCACCTAACACCACAAACTGTCAATAATTTTTTTATTATATATATTTTGACTGTAATTAGTTATCAATAATTACAGTCAAATTATATATTTGTTCAATATTTGTTTAATTATACATTTTTATTTTAAGCACTTTATATTTTAATGCCTTAAATACTGAAAACCTTGTTCTTATATAAATCTTTTTTTGATGTTTCTTTTAAAAAAAACATTTTTGTCTAATTGGAATAGGTTATTGATGACAAGTAAATTTATAATTTTTAAGAGTAATTCAAATCATAAAAATAAAATAAACTTTAGGATATATTCTGATTGGTAAGTGAATAGTTAAGGATGTACCAAAGATAATTATATGCAGTTGTGGTGTAGTGGTAGAGTGCTCGCCTCATAAACGAGAAGTTCCAAAATTGATCCCCTCCACATCCCTGGTAGTGCTGTACTCAACTTGTTTCTCTGCGCAGCAGCCTTGTTTTTCAAAGTTTGTGTTTTGGAGTTATAGAGTTAAGAGAGAGTTGTAACCACAACTAAAGTAGCCTCCTCAACTGTAGTGGCCTTGGGAAGGTGACTTAAAATTTAAGAAAATAATAAGTTTTAAAGCTATAAATTGATTTGTTACAAAAATCTCTATTCGAGGTTAGCTAATCTTCATTTCTAACAATTATTCTTACTGAAGCTAATTAATTTCAAAGTTCTAATTTAATGTTTCTTTTTTGGTGATTTTGACATAAACCTTTGGTGATTACAACTTATTTTCAATCAAGTACAACAATACATCTGTTTGTCTTATTAACATTTAATTAAAATAAAACAAATTATTTTCTGAAATTAAAGTTTCATATTTAAAGTGCTTATTTCAAATTGCCAATGAAAGATTTTTTAAACACTTTTTTTATACTCTTTGAACTATGTGATGAATGATTTCAAAAGAATCAATTTAAAAGTAACGTTATATATTTTTGATTTAATAGATTGCTATGGGAATACCTTTACATAAAATTAGAGATATTCGAAGGTTATATAATGTTGATTTAATGTCTTCTGATGAAATTGATTTTGCTGGGTAAGATTTTATTGTGTCTTGTATTATAATAATCTTTTTTTTTGATTTATAAATAAATATTTAAAATAAAAAGCATGATAAAAATAGATTTATGTTTAGTAGATAAAAATCTTTTGTTAAGACTTTTACTCAAACTTGTCTAGGTATATGATTTTAATAACAAACCTAAATGATAATGTACACACACACAAAAATCAAACATTGACATTGAACATTGAAAACATTGAAGTTCAAGAATTTTAGTAGTCTTTTCTACATTCTGAAAAAACCTTCTTGCAGTATTTCCATTCTTTTATGATCCAGGACCACCAGTATTTGTTGTATCAACTACCTGATTGATTTTATTGTGAAACCTGTATTGTTTTTGTTCTTAAAAATTTTTTCAGATTGTTTTTGTGGTCCACTTTTTTGATGTCAACCTATGGGTAATTAAAAGTAGACATTTAGTGCTTCTAATCCATTTGTAGGGAATTCTCTAAAGTCAAAGCAGAGACCTGCCTGTTTTAATTGTATATTTTTAGATGCAATATTTCACAAAATGTTGACAGCAAATCAACATTATGCATATTTAGCTATATAAATATAGTTAAAGAGAATTTAACTTATTTATATAGTTGAATTTGATTATGTGTACAATTGTATTTTTCATAGTGTAAATATTTTTTAAATAGTGTAAATATATATATTTTACTAAGCTAAAGTATGTATGAATGCATTAGTATATTGTCATGATTCTATAACTAAGTCTAAATTTATAGTTAATATTGCTTTTAATTTTTAATTATTTTTTTTTAAATTACAAATTTTTTAAGACTTCATGGTCAAATTATTCCAAAAGGTCATGTAATTGCAGCACGAATTACTGCAGAAAATCCAGATGAGGTAACCAGTTTATTTTATAGTAAACATAAAATGAATTAGTTAGATCTTATTATTTGTTAAATATATTTGTTAAATATAATTATATGGTTATTTGTTGAATATAATTATTCTTTTTTTGTTATTCTTTAAGCTGTTTATTAGTCTACTTTTATTTTATTTTAATTGTTTTTTAATTGTTCATAATTAGTAACACATTTATATTTAGATTAAAAATGATATTTATTTAATTATTATATAAATAACTTCATTAAATTAAAAGCATCGCATTATTAAATGAAATTACTTGTAGAATTTAAAAAAAATTTTAAATCTATACTAAACAATTGTTAACATTTTATGTTGAAATTTTACTTATGTTTTTTTAAAGGGGTTTAAACCAAGTAGTGGAACCATAAAAGAGTTAAGTTTCCACAGTAGCAACAAGAGTTGGGGATATTTTAGTGTTTCATCAGAGGGAAGTTTGCATGAATATGCTGATTCACAGTTTGGTCATTTATTTGCTGGTGGTGAAACTAGAGAAGCTGCTCGCAAGTGAGTTATTTATACATGCTAGCATGCTAATTTATTTGACTTCTATTTTTTAGTTTTTATTTTGATAACAATATATAAGTTGCAAAATACATACATAATAATTATAATTTTGATCTAAATTATTCAAAACTTTAAATTTTAGTTAATTTTAATTGTAGTTATAATTAATTAGAAAAAATATTATTTTATTTAAATTAAATGTTGTTTGTACAATTTTTGTAATTGCTTACTTAGTATATTTTAATTGGTTGAATTCAAGATAGAAATTATTTACAATATTTAGCAAATTATAAATTTAATAAATTTAATTTTTTGATAAAAAAATTTCGTTTTTACAGGAATATTATTCTTTCTCTAAAAGAGCTTTCGATACGAGGCGACTTTCGAACAACTGTCGAATACCTTATTCAATTGCTTGAAACAGATGAGTTCAAGCGTAATAAGTTAGACACCGGGTGGTTGGATAAGCGAATAGCAGATAAAATGAAGGTCAGTTTCAATAATTTATTCTTATAAATATATAATATATATTTACAAATTTTTTGTCAAAATAAAAAAAAGTTATTAAATCATTGGGTTGTTTTGATAGAAAAAAAATGCTAAAATTTGCCTAACTGATATAGACATTTTATTTGGAAAAGTCCCCTCATGAAAATATCTGATTTAAAATTTGAAGGAATATTTTTTTCTATTAAAATATTAATTGAATTTTATATTTCAATTTTTAAATAAGAATCGTTTATCACTCAGGCTTTTTAGTAGAATCAAAATTTAAGTAATTTTGGTAAAGGATTTTTTCCTTCTACCTAAGTTTAGTTTTATACTTTCCTGGCATATTTAATTTCAAGTTATTTCCTCTATAGTTAATGTTTGCTGGGCTTTTTATAATAATGTCCTTCTATAACAATAAAAGCCCTATGCTGCCCTAGGTTTTATCACCTAGGGCAGCATAGGGCTGTGCAAATAATAAAAAAATTAAATTCAAGTAAGTATATATACAGTAAAGTATCTTTTTGTCAAAACAAAAATAAGTTTTTTAATAATCAGTAAATCATTGGGTTTTTATTGTTTGATATAAAAAAAAGCAACAAATGGTTTTGTGGAAATTATTCAAATAATTCAAGGATTTTTGATGTTATTTATTCTTTATAAAATACAATAGTTTGCTTCAAATACATAAAAATAAAGTATTTATATTAAATATCACTTTAAGGTATTGATCATTTCATCATGATATCTAAAGTTTAGTTATGAAGAAGAAAGCTGGGCTGAAAATTATTATTCAGAATCCACCAATGAAGGTGACAAAGAAAGATTTGCGTTTAATTTTTCAAAGCCTAAAGCCATATTCTTTTAGTTATTTAATAAATAGAAATGTGTTTTTAGCTAGTAAACTTACAACAGTATCAGATACTCATAAGGCTCATTAATTTCTTCTTTGCAAAAAAACTATATTCTAAAGCCATTTGTAGTTGTAATAATTTAATTGGCAATTTTCAATAAATTTAATTGCTCTAAAAAGTTGTATAGATCCCTTGCAATCTTTGGATGATTCTTCATTAATGTTATCATAACCATTTAAATTGCCTAAGTATCTAACAAGTTCACAAATTCCAGTTTTCTTATTTATAAACAGTTTCTGATATTTTCATACGTTTCTGAAAATATTCTAGAAAGACTGCAAACAGCTAATATAAATTTCTAATTAGAGTTGAAAAAAATGTGAGTTCAATTTATTTACCTTATTAAGAAATTAAATGTTTGAAAATATTTAGCATTGAACACTGTTGAACAGGAATAAAAAAACCACAACACTAAAACTTTTATTTTTTTTGAAAATAAAAGGTTTTCATTTTCACCAAAAGTGTTAGTCTGTGATTAAAATGGTTATAAAAACTGGCACATTTGAAAGAAGCATTTCACAAATTCATGTATTGGTTATTTACCCACAATTTCATTTATGCAGTATTTGATGCCATGTTACATGCAAATCTGCTACAAAATGAATGCAGGCTCAATAAAATACTTTTAACAAAGCTAATATTTTAATTAAAATATAATACTTACTGGTTTAAGAATTTGCTATAAAAGAATCGTCATACGAAATCTACAGTTTACTTGTTGTATTTTTCTTTAGAGTTATATTATTCTCATTTGATCTCATTATCCAGCAACTATGGGAAAAACTAACTTTTGCAAAATTCCATTTTTGGAAATATTTTATTTCACTCTTAAAACTTGCAACAAATGATGTAAAAACATTTAACGCAATGCGTAAAAATTAAATTTTTATAGGGTTCTTCAAGCAAAAATACAATATTTTTTGATTTAATTTTATTGCATTCTTTTTTACAAAAATATTTTCCATTATTGAAAGGCATTTTGTTGTCACTTTTGGTTTATTAGATTAAATATAAATGGTTAATAATACATGAAATTAAAAAGAACGTCATTGTCAAATTCTAAGTATAAAGCATTTACGTCTTGCAATAACGTTACGATAACGGCTTTTCTTTTTTTAATAACATTTATAATAAACAATGTTATTAAACTTTAGAAATAATTGAACAGAGTTCTATAGAACATTTTTGTGAGACTGTAGCATGAATGTTGTCCAGATCAAAAGCTGTAAAGGATTTTAAATGAGAATCAACTTTAGTAACAGAAGCATGATTGTTTTTGATGATCACAAAAACAACTCTCTGGAGAACAAATGTTCTCTCTGGAGAACAAATGTTCTGCAGGGAGTTATTTTTGTGGAAAAGATTAATGAAATCATTAAATTAGAAATAGCAGCTGCACAAGCAGGTGAAATCCACTGAGAAAATTTCTTATTCGTTTAAACTTTTTCTAGAAATAATGATAACTGGAAATAAAATGTCATAAGTTTGATAATCATTTACTTGTAAATTATGCTAAAAAGCTTGATGATTTTCAAGGCATAACTTAAGTTTAATTTGAACACTCTTTTGTCATTATTTATTATTTATTGAAAGATTGTTAACGATAAAATAACTAAACAATTAATAATTAAATAATTCATTATAACTTTTATTTACACTAAACTTTAAAATTTTTAAACTTTCGTTTTGAATTTTAAATTTAATGCTTGAAAATTTGCTTTTATTTTTATTTTAGCTTTTATTCTTTTTTTTTTTTCAGTCAATTAGTCCCGATACTATTCCTGCTGTTATATGTGGAGCACTTCATGTTGCAGACAACATTATTAGTTCAAACTTTGTGAAGTATCAGGCTGCTATAAGCCGGTAATCATTTAAGTTATTTTAACTGGTTATATAATATTTTAATTTGGCAACCATATTGTTTTGAACTTTCATGTTTTAAATTTGTACTCACTTGAATATTTTTATTGAACTCATTATTTAGCAGTTGCTGAAAGCCCTATATATAATAAGTATATACATTACTATTGTTAGTATTTCTTATAATTTTAATTTTTTATTGAAATCCTTTATCCATTGCTTGTTAAGAGTAAAACAATTAACTTATTTTAGGCCACTGCAGCATTAGCAAAACAATAATGAAAATAAGTGTTTATTATTTTTTTTGACCTTGGGTGTTAAACACCCTAGGTCAATAAAAATAATATGTTGATAACACAATTTTAGGTTGTTTTTTTATTATCTGCTACTTTATTGGCTATAATATATCTCAAAACAGTTAATGTTGTATTATGTACCATAGCTAAGTATTTTTAAATTAAACTAAAGAAGTCATATTCTAGCTAATAATTAAAAAAGGAATGTTTTAACAACAGGTTTTTTTTGTTTGCATCAAACATTAGGCATAGTTTATATTTCAACATTTTTATATTCATAATTTTTAATATTGTTTTATTAATATTAAGATAATATGTAGTTATATTCTTTAATAATAATATGTAGTTATATCATTTAAAGTTTGTCATTTTTGTGACTCAAATTTTTAATTTTGGTTTATTATATATTTAAGTGGTCAAGTTCCAAAACCAGAAAGTTTGAGAAACTCTGAGTTGGTAGAACTTATCCAAGGAGAAACAAAATACATTCTTATGGTAACAAACTTATCTAATGTTTTGACAAATTTTTTTAAACTTTTTTTTTTTACTTTTTTAAAACATTTATTTTATACTGTTCATTTATTTTTATTTCATTAACTGAAACGACAATTGCATATATTGACTATAGTTATCTTAAAAAATTAAAATTTAGTATTTGTTTATTTGTATAACTATATGCATAAAAACAATAAATTGGAACGCAATCTTGTCAAACCCCTATTCTGACATTGAGCGTCCTTTGCGTCTACAAACTCGTATTTCTAGGAAACAGGCAAAATGGGGTATATAGGGATTTGCGCAGCAGTGTGTACATACACCGACTGATTTTTAGAGAGAACATGCAGCAGAGTGTGCAAACAACGACTGAGGGTTTGGGGTAGGCAGGTTCTCTTTTAAATGAAGAAGTCATTTTTTTACATTTTCGGACCTTAAGGACAGCATCGGAATAAGGGTTTGACAAGAGAGTCTACCTTGAAAATTTTTAATACTTTTTTGTAAATTATGTAAGTAAATAAATTTGATATTATTTTATATCATTACTAACCTTAGTCAGAATAAGCACATAGGTCAGCCCTATACAGTATTATATATATATATATATATATATATATATGCATATTTAAGTGAGGTGGGATGTCGCAGGATGCCATCCGACACCTTTTTACAAAGCATAAACCATCCCGGCACTTTTTTATAAATCTATATATATAACAATGGTTAGGTGGGATGTTATTCTTAATTTACTGAATACCATCCCAATACTTTATATATATATATATATATATATATATATATATATATATATATATATATATGTATATATATATATATATATATATATATATATATATATATATATATATATATATATATATATATATATATGAACATCAATAATCAGTTTTTTATTATTTAAGCTAGATTTTTGATACAAGCATCTTCACCTTTAATTACAAACAATTTTTAATTATTTATTTATAAACAATATTTAATTACAAACAAACAGTAACCTCACTTTTTTAATGGTTTTCCTAACATTTGCTTTAAATGGGCTTTTCTATGGTTATGTGAGTATAAAGAATATGGTGCCCAGAATTGTGTTTTTATATACTAACCATCTTTTATTTTTATACCTCCATTTTTAGGTCTGCATTTGCTATATACTGATTTTCAATTAAATCTTGTACCTTTTCTTTCAAAATTTTTACATTCTATTTTCAATTTTTTACCTGCTCCCATTTTATATTGCACGGATATATATTTTTATAATGCCCAATTGTAGATTGGTCCCATTTTTTTTCTAATAAGAATGAATTTTCAAACAAAAATAAAACAACACCAAAAATATATATTAAAAGAAAAATAGGACCATTCTGCAGTTGGACATCATAAAAGCAAATATCCGTGCAATTTAAATTGGGAGCAGGTAAAAATATTGAAAAACAAATCTAAAAATCATGATAGAAAGTTTGATAGTCAATTTAAATTCAATATAACAAATGCATACCTAAAAATGGAGGTATAAAATTAAACAATAGGGTAATTCCATGTTAAATGACCCAGGTCATGTCACTATACATCTCTGGCTCCAAGAAGATCCTGAAATATGACCATTTTACTTTTAGCAGATACTAGCCAGGTCCCACTTGTCCCCTCAAAATTGCAATGTTTATTTAGAGGTTTTAAGTCACATAACTTTAAAAATATTTAATCATTTTACTTAAAAATTTGTAATTGGCTATTTTTGGAGGCAATGAATTGAATGAAATGAACAAAAATGTAAAAAATTATTATTATGTATCTGTAATTATCAATTTAAATAAATTTAGGCAATTTTTTATATATCTGTTTTTAATGCTCAAAAAACCCATGTGGCCTTTATGATATCAAAAAAATATAGATTACACATTATTCTATATTCATTGATCTTTTAAAAAATGTAAAGATTTTGATCTGCAAGTATATTGATTTCCATATATGGATAAAGGGGCACAGTTCCCACTTTTTTGTAGAGGAATATTGCAATTGGTTTTTCATTAAAATTCAGACTAGCTAAAGTTCTGAAAATTTTGCAACTTTCCTAGTGCCAATAAATGTTCATGTTCAAATTGTTTTCAGGGCCTCAAAATAACAGTGGAGAGTGGGGGGGGGGGGGGGGGAGACTGGGGAAAGTACCTCACTTTTTTGTAATGAAACTTCTGATAAATTTTTCCCTATTTTCCAGATAAACTGGAACTCTGAAAATTTCAGTATTTGTGTTGTCCTGATGAACGTGTCTTAAAATTGTTTCCAGGGTAGACGGCCAGAAGGTCCATGGTCAGAGGCTCTGGGGCCATGTCCCACTTATTTTCTCAAATGCTTTTTGCATTTTTAATGTAGTAAAGATAACTTAATAATATGCAAAAATGTTAACACAGTCTTGACAAAAAAAGTGCATGCCAGAAGAGTTTGTTAATTTTTATCATACCAATTCAATGAAACATATAATATATACACAGAAAAAGTTCACCAAATTCCATGTATTAATGTTAATTTTTTAATGTATTAATGTTAATTTACTGATTAGGTTAAATATTTTGAATATCAGTAAAAGAAAACATGTCTGTTATATTAAAATCTTCACTTGTTTGTTTAAAGCTGATAATATCTATAGATTCTGGATTAAATTTATAATAGCTCCTAATTGCAGGAATTGTTCTACTCAGCTGAAAACTTTTTTTCAAAGTGGTGCGCAATTCTGTCAGTCTTTCTTTTTAAATTTTGAAAAAAAGAATCCCTTTAATATTCTTTGTACAGCAATCAAGCATTTTATTACAATTCAATATCTGGTCATTTATGGGGCCATGTAGACTTGTATTTGCAGTTAATTGTTAATTTATTTTGCCATGTAGGAATAAGCTGTTAACTTGTTTATCGCCTCTGATAACATTAATTTGTATTCTTCAATTGTTGTTGTCTGACAGATCAATGTTGTTCTGTCTGTTTTCTTTTCAATTTAAAAAGTTTTAAATTATACAATGTAAAATTCTGTTAAAATTATTTTTTATATGGATGACTGTTTTTAATCCATGTACTTGTAAATCAAAAATCTTATAAACATATGTACTTTCTTAAAACATTTTAAGAAAATCAATGGAACTAATATAAGCAAAAAATTCTTTTTGAAGACAATATTTTTAAAGTTTACGCCCCACTTTTCTCAACAAAAAAATTTTTTTTTTTGCATTTTTAATGCAAAACAAAAAAAAAAAATTCTTTGTTGAGAAAAGTGGGGCGTAACCCACTTTTCTCAACAAAATTTTTTTGATGATTGTAAAGTCCTCCACTTTTCTCAACAAAAATTTTTTGCATGACCCTCAGTGCCCCAGCCTTATGGACCCTGCCCTGGAAACAAATTTAACACACATTTATCAGGACTATACAAATGCTGAAAGTTTTAGAGCTCCAGTTTGTCTGGAAAGTAGGGAAAAATCACAAGATTCCACTACAAAAAAGTGGAACACTTGCTCCAATATCCCCCTGATGTCTTAGGGCCCTGAAATCACTTTTAACATGCAAATTCATTGGCACTATAAAAAAAAAAGTTTTCAGAGCTCCAGCTAGTCTGGAAGAAATTAAAAATCAATTGCAATACTCCGCTACAAAAAAGTGGGAACTGTGCTCGTTATCCATATACTGAAGATCATAATCTTTATATTTTTTGAAAGATCAATGAATATAGAATGATGTGTAATATATATTTTTTTATATCATCAAGGCCACATAGGTTTCATGAGCATCAAAATAAGGTATAAATAAGAAAGCCATCTATGTATGTATGTATGTATGTATGTATGTATGTATGTATGTATGTATGTATGTATGTATGTATGTATGTATGTATGTATGTATGTATGTATTTATGTATTTATGTATATATGTATGTATGTATGTATGTATGTATGTATGTATGTATGTATTTATTTATGTATGTATGTATGTATGTATGTATGTATGTATGTATGTATGTATGTATGTATGTATGTATGTATGTATGTATGTATACTAAATTTATATTAAAAGTAAGTATGTATACTAAATGTGTACTAAAAGTAAGTTTATTATTTGATTATTTTTTTATTGTTGAAAGGTTACTCGATCTGGACCTAACCAGTATTTTCTTGTGATGAATAATAGTACATTAGAAGTTGATATACATCGGTTAGTTGACTCTTTCTTTCAATGTTTTTAAATTACAATTATTAAACTTTTTTTGACTTGTTTCAATACAGTTTTATGTTTGCGTAACAAGTGTTGCATAGATAAAAAAGGTTTTTGACATTTAAAAAAAAAAATAGAATGTTATTTTTTTTTATTCTATATTTAATTATAGTTATGTTTAATATATTTGTTTTACTAGAATATAAATATATATATATAGAATCAATTAATTATACTATAGTTTTTTTAGAAAATATAAAAATACTTTTATATTTCTATTTAGAAAAAGTGATGGCGGATTAATGGTTTCCTTCAGTGATGTAACATACACATCTTTTATGAAAGAAGAATTTGATGGGTTTAAATTCAATAAATGTTTTTTAAAACATATTTAGTAGTATTTATAAACCAGTATATTATAAATTTTGATCTTTAGATACCGTCTTGTTATTGATGGAAAAACATGCATTTTTCGCAAAGAAAATGATCCTACAATTCTTAGGTATCTATTCAAAGTTTTAATTTTTAAATGTTACATGACTACATGACATATTATGGAGGACAGATTACTAATGATTGCAACACAAAGACCTTACTTTAATATTTTTCTTATACTTAAAATTTTAAAATGTATTTTAATGTTATTCTAAAAATATTTTGATTCTTTTTTTTTTAAATGAAATAAAAGATGTTTGTTTTTACAAACTTTAACTACTTTTTTTGCTTTTGCACAAGTTTGACATTTTCTCATACAGCCATTTGTTTTTCGAAGAACTTTTTTAAATTTTTCACTCTCATTTGCTGCTTTTTATTATACTCTTCAAACTCTTTTTTCATATTTTACATAATACTTTCTGCTTATAAAGTTATGTACACATGTTGTTTTGTTTTTCCAAAAAGTAAATGATTTTTTGATTTCACATGTTTCGTATTTATATTACTTTAATTTTTTTCTAATTTTCTTAATCTTTTCCTATCTTTTTCTGGCAATTTTTAAAAGTAAAACATGAATTAGACAAATCCCTTCTAATATATTTATATCCACTTAATATTATATCCAATTTTAATAATACTATATATTTTTAAAATATAATATATATATATATATTAAAAATTTTACCTCTCCATAAATTTACAATAAATACTTAAATCTAAAAATATACATATATTATGTTTTCATCATTCTAGATCACCTTCTCCTGGAAAACTTATAAATTTTGTAGTTGAAGATGGAGGTCATGTTTTTGCTGGTGAACCATATGCTGAAATAGAGGTTTTTTTTTTTTTTAATATTTTTTTTTGCACAGATTAGCTTTTAGTGATGGTGGTGGTGGGGATCCTCAGCCTATTTAAAAATTTGTTAATAAAATTTTTATTTTGAAAGTCAGCATCCAAATTTTTTAGACTCAAATATATCAAAACTTCTTTCATGTTCAAAATGCATCTCTCTATTTGATGCCTAAATATGCATTCAATATAATCACAATTACACATTCAATATCGCCAATATAATATTTTCAAGAATTGTATTATATATATATATATATATATATATATATATATATATATATATATATATATATATATATATATATATATATATATATATATATATAAAAGCAACAAGTTTATTTACAAACTCATGATGAGTTTGTGAATTAACTTGTTGGCATAATTTCACCTCAATGGTCATTGTAGAATATGGAACACCCAAAATCCAACAGTAATCATTGAGTAAATGTAATTGGCATTTCCCAACTTAACGATTCCTGATTTATTCTTTAAAGATAATTTATGTAACAATAAACTAAAACCATTCTAAGAACTTGATGCTAGCAGTAAAAAAGAAGCGATGGTGCTAATAACTGAAATTCTGAGAAAAGCTATGGAAAATGCTCAAAGCAATGAATATTATTTAATGGGCATCTTTTAAAAATCTTTAGAACATATTAATTATGTAACAATCTAATTTAACATAGCATATTTCCAAACTCAAATTTAAATTTTAATAGGTGCCAAAAATAAATAAAAACAAAAAGAAATTAGCTATTCATTGAATCATAACATTAGATATATATATATATATATATATATATATATATATATATATATATATATATATACATACATATATAGTTTTTAGTTTGCAACTAGTGTATAACTTTAGGTGATGAAAATGGTCATGCCTCTTATTGCTAATGTGGATGGATGGTAAGTTTTTTTTTTGTATACTTTGTGTTAGTTTTTTTATCAGTTAAAACTTTAAACAACATATATATATATATATATATATATATATATATATATATATATATATATATATATATATATATATATATATATATATATATATATATATATATATATATTATATATATATATATATATATATATATATATATATATATATATATATATATATATATATATATATATATATATATATATATATATATATATATATATATATATATATATATATATATATATATATATATATATATATATATATATATATATAACCCTCGGAATTAGGCAATGCAGACCTAACTGCTGACCTAAAAGTGTTTGAGGTCAGTAAAAAATTGCCGACCTCGTTACTATGTTTTATGGTAAAATCTTTGTATCAAATTTTTTTTGCCTATCTGCTGCCGACCTTTAAAAGATTGAGGTTGACAAATTATTTTCGACCTCATTTTTCATTCCGAGGGTTATATATATATATATATATATATACATATACATATAAATATATATATATATATAATATATATATGTATATATATATATATTATATATATATATTTTTTATATATATATATATATATATATATATATATATATATATATATATATATATATATATATATACAAATACAATTGCAGTGTTCATCATGTGAAATGTACCGGAACAATACTTGACCATGGTATGATTGTTGCACGACTTACACTTGACAATCCAGGCAAAGTATTTAAAGTACGATGTTTGTTTTTACTATAAAAATATGTATTTGATGTAAGTGTTGAAGTTCATATGTCTATTTCAATATGTTTGTCATAAAAAAATAACTTTGAAATTTGTAAAAGTATAAATAAAATTAATTTTGAAAAAAATGTTAGTGTAAAAAAATGTTGAAGTTATAATGTGTTTTTGAATGAGCATATGAGTAATTAAGTATTAATAGCTTTCTGTAAGAGATTTTAAAAGTGTTACCACTCATCAGTGTAGGAATATCAACAATATTCAACAATAACAATAAATTGTTTGTTTAAATCCTGAAACAGCTGAAACCTTCTCTATGAAATATGAGTATGAAATTCTGAAAGTTATTACTGTAGAGATCACATTCTTTTTCTTTAATCATAATTTAATTTTAGAAGCTATGTATAATAGTTGGAATGGGTACCAAACTTTAGTAATGTTACAATTCATGATATATATAGTTGTATTCATATATATCAATGTGTATATATATATACATATATATAGTTTAAAATTTTAATTCAAATATTTATGTTTTATTATAAGTTAAAAAAGAAAAACGCAATGGTTTAATCCTATAACCTAAGTATTGGGAAATGTATTACTTTCTTCTTAGAGGGATGATTAGTATCACAATGACATTACAAAGAAATTAAAAACAAGCTTTTGTTTTTGTTAGAGTTATGATTTTAATTGGACTATGTTTTAGTTGCCAGTAATAAAGATAACACTAAAAGTAACAAAGCTTGCTTTTTTTTGTTTTTTAAGTACTTTAAGTTTTTGGTAATAAAATACAACATATTTCATTCTAGACAAACCTCTATACAGAACCATTTCCGCCAGTAGCAAATAAACGAAATCATGGAAGCAAACTTCATCAAGTTTGCCAGCAAGCTCGTGAAAATTTGAGTAACATAATGGATGGTTATTGTATTCCTGCCCCTTATTTTACAGATAAGGTATTTTTTTTACTATTATGAATTTGGGTTTCTGTGTTTAGAAATTATTTTAAAGTTGTGTATAGCTTTGTATTGTGTGTTTAAAGCATGATGCATTGTGATGTTTAAAGCATGTATGTTTGTTCTTTGTGGTTTGTAGTTAGATGAAGATGTAAACACAATGATTCATGTTTTAAAAGATCCTGCTCTTCCTCTGCTAGAAATGCAGGTAATTATGATAATTATGATAATTATGCTGCTAATGGTTTATTGACTAAATTTGTTTACCTTTAAAAATTATTTTGAGGTCAAAAGAAATGAAAAAATTAAGAATCTTTAATAAACGTTTTAATGTTGACTCCTAAAATTAAATTTATAGTTTGTAAATTTATTTAAGTATGTATCCTAGGAATTATTAGCTTCTGTTTCTGGTCGAATACCGCAAGTTGTTGAAGATTCAATCAAAGGTTACCTTTCAAAATATGCAAGCAACATCACATCTATCCTCAATCAGTTTCCGAGTCAACAAGTATTTATAGACATTATTTTAATCAAAAAGCAGTAAATATAAATGTTTCATTGGTTATATGATAATATATTCACAGTCTAAAAAATTATCTATTAAATTATAAATGTAATGTAACACTTACAAATGTGTTGTATCATTTACAAAAAAATTATTTATTAGATAGCAAATGTGATTGATTCATATGCTGCAACACTTACAAAAAGAACAGAGCGAGATTTATTTTTTATTAATACGCAAGGAATTGTACAGCTAGTACAAAGGTTTTTATTTTTTTTATGGTTTTTTATTATTTTCAAATTTAATTCAAGTTTAAATACGTAAAATGAATATTATAAAAAAATTTATTGATTTGCTAGCAAAATACCAAAATTTTTGTAATGGTTATATTGTTCATTATAACTACAATTAAGCAAAATAAATTTGCTCTTAACATTTCAAAAGTTTTCAATAAAATCTCCTTAATACAATAAAAATTGGTAAAGAATTTGTCCGGTTCTATAAACATAGTTCTGGGTGATTGTATTCTTTTACAGAAACTTTAAGGATCCATTATTGATCTTTTATAGTTTTTAATCTATATTAATGATCATCCAAAAGATCTCTAATGATGATCTTTTCTGAGTTCTCTGTTGTGCTCTCCATTAGACTCTTGATATGTTTGCCATTTACTTATGTTCTTTCTCTTTTAGGCAAGATGCAAATATGCATGGTAAATATTTTCTGGGCTTTTACAGCAAAACCTGTCATTGAATCATGGTTGCTTCTATTCAAATATTTTTAAGTATTGCAGTTTAAGTCACATCCTGTTTTACTTACAAATTTTCTTACAAAACCTTCATTTACATCTACTGCTTATTAATACTTTACTTACGTGACTATTTTTGGAGTATCCTTTTTTCATTGTTTTTTTAGCTAATTATTTTCTGGTTGACACCCATTTTACATAAAATCAATTCTTTTACACTCTAAAACCAATAATGTCTTGATCCAAATTTTTTATTGTATATTTAGTTTTACATATCTTTATTGTATATATAGGTACCTGTTATTGTATATATAATTAGTTAGAGATTCTAAAAGTAATTCTAAATAAAAAATATAACTAATTGATTTGATTCATTGTAAATGTAATTGTTATTATTATTAATACTATAATTATTATTTCTCAAAATTTTCTCTGATAAATATTCTGCCAAATTTACACTAATTATCACAATGGGTAAAAACAGGTAAAAACATTTACAATCTTTGATTTTTTAATTATTAATATGGTACAATTAGTTAAAATTTGTGCAAAAGTTGTTAAAATATTATCTTAATTGTATAATCTTTAGATTTCGAAATGGGATTAAAGGTTACCGCAAGTCTGTTATTATTGGATTATTAAAGCAGTATCTACAAGCAGAAATGATGTTTAATGAAGGTCAGACTTATGTGTATTTTGTTATTTGTGTGTATATATATATATATATATATATATATATATATATACATATATATATATAATATATATATATATATATATATATATATATATATATATATATATATATATATATATATATATATATATATATATATATATATATACATATCTGTTAATATTTCTATGTAATGTCTTTAAATTTTGATTTATATTTCAGAGTTTTAATTGTACTTTCTAATAAAAGTACAATTAAAACATATTTTTTGATCTTGAAATGTTATGTAGTTTACACTTTCTAATATAAGTGTAAACTACATAACATTTCAAGATCAAAAAATATGTGTGTGTTTATATATATATATATATATATATATATATATATATATATATATATATATATATATATATATATATATATATATATATATATATATATATATATGTATATATATATATACACACCTATATATATGTGTGTGAAAATATCATAACTATTATTTATATCATAAATATCATAGCTATTAAGGGTAATTAATTATATAGAAAGAAATTTTTAATTCAATCACAGGGACTACATTCTTTGTAAGTTGTTTTACCATCTGTCTTTGCTACTTTGGCATCATCTTTTCAAACTTCAAATTGAGTAAAACACTTCATTATAAACCTGATTATTAACAGTTTTTTTAGAGTTTTGTGTTAGGTCTTTTTCAAACTGTGATGTTCAACATGGAAAAATCAATAACTTTTGATAAAGGGTATCCCAAACCTCCGAGACATGTTGTGTCCATATTAAAGAGAATGAGAATTAAATTTTAAAAAAGCCTAAATTTTTTTGATTAAAACAAAAGAATAAACGCATACCAAGAAAGAATGACTTTTTTTTTTAGTCAAAGCTCGCCTTTTTTGTTTTGTTGTAGGCCAAAATATCTTCATAATATACGCTGCAATCTAACGACTTGATAATTTGTGTCCAATTTATATCTGTGAGTTTTAGTACATAATTTCATTGATATTTTTGTTTTTTTAAATGATCGATTATGTAAACAAACAAAAAAAATCAATTATGTCATGTACTAAACTCATATGAATAAAACGCGCTTGAATAAATTATCAAGTCTGTAGGTTATGAAGACTTTTTGGCCTACAATAAAACAAAGAAGGCAAGCTTTTGTTCTTTTGTTTTAATCAAAACTTTTTTTTTATCATTCTCTTTAATATGAACACAACATGTCTTGGAGGTTTAGGTCACATACAATTTTGAATGTTAAAATAGTATTTAAACTTGGTTTAGATATTTTAACTATAGTTTAAATATCTAAACCAAGTTTAATCTAAAACATATTTTTATATTTTGTCACTCCATTCTGTCTTTTGTCACTCCATACTGCCTCTTGTCACTCCATACTGTCTTTTGTATAAAAATTTCTGAATATCTGAATTTGTTTGTCCTCATAATAGAATTAGATATCTGAGCATATTTTTTACTTTTTTAATTTTGATGACAAATTAATCTTGCCGATTAAAAATTTAAATTATGCTTAACAAATAAAAATATACTTTAAATTAAATTTGCAATAGATTTTTTTTAAGCAACATTCTTTACATGTTTAATGTAACATCCATAAAATATTCTAGTATATATCACTATAGCAATACAGTTTTTTCGTAAATAATTGTTTGTTTTATTGCTTTTAAAAACAATCACACATTATTGATTATTAAATGTTTATGGTATATGTTTTATATAATATATAATAATATCAGGGATTATCTTTTTCAGATATTTCTGGAAATCCAGATTTTTTTTTCAACTTTTAGTTTTTCCGGATATCCAAAACTTTTTCCATACATATAAGTTTAGGTATATATTTTTGTAATATATTTGTTTTTTAAGCTTTTTCACTCATCACTCATACAAAAGTTAAGAAAATTTTAAAACAAAACTTTATTTTTACCCAAACAATTTTCTTGATTTTTAAAATATGACCTGGATCATCTATGTAATATATGTTAAATGAATCTCATATTTTTTGATAATGTGCTATATAAACTAACTGAAATTTAATAAAATAAAATAAGATAAAATAACTTAAAATTTATGTTATACTTACAATTATAACATAAATGTTATTTTTATTGCATGATTCATTATGTAATAAAATTTAATAATAGGAAACTTGGAGCGGTGTGTGACCGATATTGTTGAGCGAAATAAAGATACAAACTTAAATCAAGTTATTCAGAATATATTCTCTCATTCAAAAGTTACACAGAAAAATATTCTTGTTATAAAACTCATTGTAAGATTTTTTTTCAAGTTCTTTAATTAATTATGCTATTTTTTGTTGTTGTTGTTAAAATTTATTTTTTGTTGTTGCTAACAATTATTAACAAAAAATCCACATAGGTGTTCTATCTTATAAATACTATTTTTTTTTTCTAATTAATTTTTTTTTGTAAAAATTTACTGCCATTAATATTAAGATTAAACATGTTAGTTAAAACTAATTGTAATTAATTACAATTATTATAATTATAATAGTTATACCTTATCTATTTGTTATACCTTATGTAAAAAAAAAAATTAAAAGTGATTATCTTAGGACCATTTGTTTTGTTCGGACACAAGTTTAACAGATGAGGTTAGAGCGTTGATGCAAGAGATGACACATTTAAATCGTCAAGAGCATTCTAAAGTTACTCTTAAAGCACGACAAGTAAGTCCTTTCTTAGATTATTGTTTAGACAATTTAGTCCTAACAATTTGTTATTAAAGATTATTTTGCTTTTTTATTTCAAATAAACTAGTTTAATTTAAAAATAATTAATTATTATTTGTTAGAAATTTACATTTGTTTATTTTTATTTGAAGATTTTACATAAAGATGTTTTTTTTTTTTTAATATATTCATTTTTGGGGGGTCTGTAGGTTTTGATTGCTTCTCAAAAACCATCATATGAATTGCGACACAACCAATTTGAATCTATCTTTCTGTCAGCTATTGATTTGTATGGTCAACAATTTAATCCTGAAAACTTACAGGTAAAAGTGTTAATATTTTAATATCATTAATTTTTAAAACATTCTTTTTTATAGTTTTAAAATTTTTATATAATCAAAATTTGTCTTAAAAATAAGTAAAATTAAAAGTTTTAAGATAATAAACTCCTCTTGCATCGTGTTGTTAGAAGCACAACCTTGTTCTTATTCCCTTTTTCTTGCATTGTGTTGTTTATTTTGTTGTGTAAAATCTTTTGTTTCTGAATGTAATTAAAACAAATTTTTGTGAGAGCTTTGAAATTTTAACAAATATTGTAAAGTAATTTTATTAACATATTTTTTCAATTAAAGTAAAACCTAATAAAATAGTTGTTATGTTGCTTCTCTTAAATAAAAGTAATACACCAAAATATATGTAAAGAAAATTGTAAAGTATCACTTATAAAACTTCACAAGTATGAAAGTTTTTAAGAATCATCTTAAAATAACATGCAAAGCTTGGTAAAAGGTTTTACCAAGCTTTTCGTGTTATTTTAAATGAATATAAACAGTTATTGGCAATGAATTTTATTCTTTGCTCTATTTTATTCTTGAATATAAACAGTTATTTGCAATGAATAAACAATAGTTTAGAATATTTGTGTAAATGATAAATATCAAGAAAACTTTCTTGATGTTTTTATTGGTATTTTTAATTTTCAATATATTTGAGCGCAAAAGTTACAACAGCATAAAGTATACCACTATATATTTTAGTATATTTAGAATTTATCTTACAAGTTTTATTTTTATTTTCAGCGCATTTTAAAATGCCTAGAGTTGTCAATACAAATTGCGCAGTCAAGTAAAAACAAAATATTTTATGCGTGGTCAGGACTGGCATTCAAACTGCGCTTCTTTAATTTTTATTGGACACATCTGTCAAACTTGAGTATTTATCGGACAAATTGTTTGGAACTAAAAAGTTTGTTATTTCAAGCCCTATATATATATATATATATATATATATATATATATATATATATATATATATATATATATATATATATATATATATGTATATATATATATATATATATATATATATATATATATATATATATATATATATATATATTCACACACACATAATATTAAAACAACTTCATTTGTGTAATATATTTTATTATTTAAAAATTTAAAACAATGTTAATGTTAAATTAAAAAAAGAAAATAATCATTTAGAAAATAATTCTATCAGAAACAGCAGTGTTTGATGTTCTACCAAGTTTTTTTTATCATCGAAATGAGTTAGTTCGTATGGCAGCATTGGAAGTGTATATAAGAAGAGCTTACCAAGCCTATGAAATTACACAGTTGCAACATGATCAAGTAAAAACAGTTTAAAAGTTTTAAATATTGTGTTTTTTTATAAGTTTTATAAAAATAGTTATTACTTTTTAGATGGATGGTGTTAACGTTATTGATTTTACATTCAAATTACCTGATAATCATCCCAATAGATTAGTTTGTGCCCCTCAAAAAAGACTCAGCAAACCAGATAGAAAAGAAAAAGTATACATCTATATTTCTTTTTTCAAAATATTTTTTTCTTTTAATTATATTAATTTGAATAATAAAAAATTTTCCTGTAGTATAAAAATAAGTTTATTTGAACAAAATATGTTTCATTAATGTTTAAAATATGTTTCATTAATGTTTAAAATATGTTTCATTAATGTTTAAAATATGTTTCATTAATGTTTAAAATATGTTTCATTAATGTTTAAAATATGTTTCATTAATGTTTAAAATATGTTTCATTAATGTTTAAAATATGTTTCATTAATGTTTAAAATATGTTTCATTAATGTTTAAAATATGTTTCATTAATGTTTAAAATATGTTTCATTAATGTTTAAAATATGTTTCATTAATGTTTAAAATATGTTTCATTAATGTTTAAAATATGTTTCATTAATGTTTAAAATATGTTTCATTAATGTTTAAAATATGTTTCATTAATGTTTAAAATATGTTTCATTAATGTTTAAAATATGTTTCATTAATGTTTAAAATATGTTTCATTAATGTTTAAAAATATGTTTCATTAATGTTTGAAATATGTTTCATTAATGTTTAAAATATGTTTCATTAATGTTTAAAAATATTTTGGAGAGCCATGATGCCATTTATGAAGTACTTCTGTGCTTTCTGGTTGAATTACTGAATTGTAGTTTTTATTGAGAGAATTCTGTAGAGATTGGAATGTAAAGATTGGAATGTAGAGATTAGAATGATTATAGTGAAAAAGACGCTATGTCTGGACTATATAATGGATTTTGATGGGTCATCAAAGAAGTGTGTTGTCAGAGATTGTCAATTGTTAATCTGTTGTCTAGCTCATGTTGAGCCAATCAAGTATCTTATGTTGGGCTATTTTCTTTCAGTTCCAACCTATACACAGCTTCATCTTGTTTGACATCAGTTCTTACAATTGTTGTATGTATTCATTTTGCATCATCAATTATGACACATTTCAGAATTGGTTTGCCTTTATTGCATTTGAGTTTTAAATTGCAGATGTTATTGATCTGTATTGATCACAGGTCACTGTTTTATTGTTACTTTATGTTTAGGCAGCAAAACTTATGTAGCAGTTAAAAAGTTGTTTGTATTTAAAAATGTGAAATAATGAAAAATTATTTTATATTTTAGATTAATACTTTATATGAGTCAATGGATGAAATGTCTGATAGTAATGGGACCCAGTTTCAAAACTTTGAACGAATGGGATCCATGGTCGCATTTGAAACAGTAGATGATTTTTTAAAGTAATTTGTTATCTTTTAATTTAGAAAGTTGTTTCATTTCTTATTATCAACATTCAAGTCTAAATATGTTTAAGCAGTTTTCAGAATGTATTATTAACCTTAAAGAAAGTGCCAATCAGTAGATATAGGCATTTTAAGTTAAGTTTTTTTTTTTTAATATTTTAAAAAAAAGGTTTTTTTTTTTATATATATGTAACAAAATTTAATGCTCCTCAATGAAATTATTGTTAATAGTCAAAAAAAAATTTTTTTTTTTTGATATATTTTAGAAAATAGTTTTCAAAACACTTTTGACAATTTTAAAAACATAACAAGAATTTTAAAACAAAACAAGAATTATAAAACATAACAAGAATTACAGTTATGATGTTAATTAACAATTGTTAATTAACAGTTATGATGTTAATTAACAATGCTAACATGATTAATCATTTGTGGAAACATAAATCAAAAATAAACATAAGTCGAAGCATTATGTTATAAATTATTTGTAAAAATATTATGTAATAAATTATTTGCGATGAACTTAAAAGTAATGAGGGTTTTCAGTTGGTTTTTTTTTAATTTCTTTTCTTGTATTAGTAACTTTTTATATCGTTTGTTGCAAACTTTACTACATCATAGTGTTTGTTAATGTATCTTTTTTTTTTTTTTTTTTTTTTTTGTAATTCACCTACCCAAGGCCGAGATAACCACTACAGATGAGGAGGCTACTTGTGGTTATAACCCTCTCCCAACTCTATAACTCCAAAACACAAACCTTGACAAACAAGGCCGCTGCATGGAGAAACAAGTTGAATCTGCAAGATTGTCATTGATAATTTTCTAATTATCAAGTTTTAAACACATTGTAAAGTATTTCATAAACTAAAAATTTAGCTTGGTTTTATGGTGGACCTTCACAGTTATAAACCTTAAAGAAACAAGTTCTAAATTCTTTTTTTTTCTATATTTTTTTTAGCCACTGTGACGAGCTCTTAAAAAGGTTCACAAATGTAGATGTTTCAAGTGTATCTCCAAATACTGGATATTTTTCAAAAAGAAGTTCATCAGCTGTAAGAGTTTTCTTTGTAAATCTTGCAATTATTTCAGAGAAATTTTTATTTCTAGTATTTTGTTAAAAATATGTTTAATAAATGTAATCAAAAATTAATTTGATTAGATTAAAAATAATCTAAACAAAGTTTCATAAAAATTACCATTTAAATATAACTCAATATATATATATATATATATATATTATATATATATATATATATATATATATATATATATATATATATATATATATATA